GTACAAAAAAAAAAAGACTTTTGAAGCTGGAGGATCGTTGTGAGTTCGAGACCAGCTTGGGCTACAAAGCAAGCTCAAGGCCAGCCTGAACTGCATAGCGAGACCCTGTCTCAAAAAGACAAAAAAAAAGAAAAGAAAAGAAAAACAGGAGCTGGGCATGCCGGTGCACGCCTGTAACTTCAGCACTGAGGAGACCAAGGCAGGAGGATCGCCACAAATTTGAGGCCAGCTTAAGCTATGTAGTGAGTTCAAGGCCAGACTGAACTGCATGAGGAGACCCTTTCTCAAACTGCCCCCCACCAAAGAAAATACAGAAATTTGAAAGGATTAAAACCTAGAGAGCTCGGGGCTGGGGATTTAGCTCAGCGGCAAAGCGCCTGCCTGGCAAGCGCAAGGTCGTGAGTTCGGTTCCCGGTACCGGAGAAAAACCAAAAAAAAATAAAAAATAAACTGGATAAAATAAAATAAAATAAACTGGATTGTTTATCTTTAAAAACAAAAAAAAACAAAAAAAACCTAGAGAGCTCAAGGCCTGGGTTACAAAGTGAGTTTAAGGCCAGCCTGAACTGCATAGTGAGACCTTGTCTCAAAAAGACAAAGGAAAAAAAAGGTTCTTTTCTCATGCGGTATATGATGAGCTTAGAAAAACTGAATCTTTTTTTTTGTGGTACCAAGGCTTAAACTCAGAGCCTAAATATTCGAGGCCAGCATGCTACCACTGAGATGCATCCTTATCCCTTTTCACGTTTTATTTCTTTTTGTTGTTTTGGGGTTTTTTTATCTTTTTTGAAACAGGGTGTCTCTATGCAGTTCCGGCTGGCCATGAGCTCACTTTGTAGTCCAGGCTGGCCTCTCTGCACACAGCTGTCTGGTGCAGCACCCCGGCCCCACATGCCTGCGCCCCTCGTACCTTGCACTGTCTTCCCCAGGTAGTCGCCACGCCGCTCCTTCTTGATCACATGATGATAGATCTTCCCGGTGGTGATGTTGTTGTCCTTATACAGATTAATATCCAAGAACCGTTCATAATTTCCAAGATCCAGGTCAACTTCTCCGCCGTCGTTTAAGACAAACACTTCGCCTGAAATGAAAAGCCAATGCAGAAATTAAACACTTGCCACCATGAGACTATTTTTCAAAGACTGACACATTTTTATTAAAGGCTTAAAAAAGTATTCACAGTGATGGTCTATTACCATTTCCTTATCTTGATGGAGAATATAACAATTCAAGTCTTCCCATGAAAATGCATTAGAAACGTTCTGGTATTCTACCATGGTGATTTCTTTTTAATCCCTCTGAAATTCTAGCGGGTTTAGAAAAGCTAAACAAAGCTGGGCATGGTGGCACACGCCTGTAATCCCAGCACTCGAGAGGCTGAGGCAGGAGGATTGTTGAGTTCAAGACCAGCCTGGGCTATGAAGTGAGCTCAAGGCCAGCCTGAACTGCATAACGAGACCCTGTCACAAAAAAAAAAAAAAGAAAGAAAGAAAAACTAAACCAGTCATGGTGGCATACGCCTGTGATCTTCTTGGAGGCAGAGACAGGAGGATCCTAAATTCAAGCCCAACCTGGGCAATTTAGCAACTTGGTGAAACTCAGCCTCTAAGGTAAAAAATAAAAAGGTGTCAGGAATGTAACTCAATGTGAAGGCCCTGTGTTCAGTCCCCAGTACTAAAAAAGAAACAGAGAGAGAGGGAACAAGGGAGGGAGGAAGAATGGGAAAGAAGGGGAAAGAAAGAAAAAAACAAAGGGAGAGAAAGAAAAGATTTAGCACTTCTACCCCAGCACTGTGGACAGTACATGCCTATAATCCCAGCTCCTGGAGAGGCTAATACAGGAGGATTACAAGGTGAGCAACGGTCTGGATAACATCATGAGACCCTGTCTCAAAATTTAAAATGTGAACCGCGTGTGGTGGCATATGCCTGTAATCCCAGCACTCGGGAGGCTGAGGCAGAAGGATCGTTGTGAGTTTGAGGCCAGCCTGGACTACAAAGTGAGCTCATGGCCAGCCGGAACTGCATAGAGACACCCTGTTTCAAAAAAGATAAAAAAAAAAAAAAAAAAACCCAAAACAACAAAAAGAAATAAAACGTGAAAAGGGATAAGGATGCATCTCAGTGGTAGCATGCTGGCCTCGAATATTTAGGCCCTGAGTTCTACCCTCAGTACCACAAAAAAAAAAAAGATTCAGTTTTTCTAAGCTCATCATATACCACAAGAGAAAAGAACCTTTTTTTTTCCTTTGTCTTTTTGAGAAAAGGTCTCACTACGCAGTTCAGCCTGGCCTCAAACTCACACCCTGGGTGTCGTGGTGCATGCCTGTAATCCCAGCACTTGGGAGGCTGAGGCAGGAGGATGGCTGTAGGTTTAAAGCCAACCTGGGCTACCATAGTTTTTTGGTTTTGTTTTTGTTTTGAGTCAAGGTCTCACTGTGTAGTGCAGGCTAGCCTTGAGCTCACTATGTATCCTAGGCTGGCCTGAACTCACAGCGATCCTCCTGCCTCAGCTTCCCAAGTACTGGGATCACAGGTGTGCACCACCACACCCCGCTAGGACACATAGTAAGAGCCTGTTTCAAAGAGAAAAGGAATGGGATGGCTGGGGAGGAGCTGAGTGTGAAGGCCTTACATTCAATTCACAGCACAAGTAGGGGAAAAAAGTTCCAAACTGATCTAAGCTGTCAAAACCCCAAAGTCAACAGGCAGGGAAAATGTACTTGACATAAGGATGTTGGGTGATCTTTTCAAACAATCAAACCAGAGAAATCTAAGTTAAAAGAGACAAATATTTTCTTTGGTTGATTTACTGTCTGGTTAGTAAAGTTTAAAAATAATATTCAGGGGGCTGGGGATTTAGCTCAGCGGCACAGTGCCTGCCTGGCAAGCGCAAGCTCAAGCTCATGAGTTCCATTCCTGGTACGGGAAAAAAAAAACAAAAATAAATAAATAAATAAATAAATAAATAAAAATAATATCCAGAGCCAGGCGTGGTGGTGCACACCTGTAATCCCAGCACCGGGGAGGCTGAGGCAGGAGGATCACTGCGAGTTCGAGTCCAGCCTGGGCTACAAAGTGAGTCTAAGGACAGCCTGAACTACATAGTGAGACCCTGTGTCAAAAATGCCAATAAAAGGAAAGAACATAGACAAAAAGGAAGTGTAACTCTCAGATTCAATGAAATTCCAAGTTAAAATGTAAGTTCCAAACAGAGAAAAACTAGCTGGGCACAGTGGCCCAAGCCTGCAGTACCAGCTACTAGGATCACAGGAGGGTTGCTTGAGCCCAGGGATTAAAGACAAACCTGGCAAACAGCAAGCTCCCATCTCAAGAAAGAAAGGAAGAAAAAAAAGCCAGCCACAGTGGCACAAACATGTAATCCCAGCCACTAAGGAGGCTAAAGCAGAATGATCACAAGTTTGAGGCCAGCCTGGGCAGCTTAGTGAGAGCTTATCTCAATTTTTAAAAATAAAACCAAATAGGGCTGGGGATGTAGCTCAGCACTAAAGCACTTGTCTAGCATGTACAAGGCCCTGGTTCAATCCCCAGTACCAAAATACCCGAAAACTGAATGCATGGTGTTGAAATTTGACACATTTGTTACCCTAGGAGTTGTGGGCTGAGAGGAGGAGGGAACAAAGGATTTCTGTTCCTGGATTGGGGCTGGCTACACAATAGGTTCTTTTAGCAAAACCTCATCAGAGCTGTCTGCTGGTGACTTATATACTTTCCTGCATGAAAGTAAAGATGTTTTTATAAACAGTATGGAAAGGCTGATGCCTTTTTAAATAATTAACACACCCTCCCAATATCAGCATTGATCATAGTTACTCCAGGCACTGGGAAATGTTAAGAGAAAAATATTGGCTGTATGATAAAATAAAATTAGCCGGGCGTGGTGGTGCACGCCTGTAATCTCAGCACTTGGAGGCTGAGGCAGGAGGATTGTTGCGAGTTCAAGACCAGCCTGGGCTACAAAATGAGCTCAAGGCCAGCCTGAACTGCATAGTGAGACCCTGTCTCAAAGACAAAAAACAAAAAAAGGACAAAAATTAATTAATTAATTAATTAATTAATTAAGAAGATAAAATAAAACTAAACACGATCCACAGCAAGAGCTACCATGTTTCCAAAAGGCTTGACTAATTTAGAACGTCATCAGCCAAGAGAAAGATATACCAGCATTGATGAAGACATTCACTTGTCCCTTCGGGATTAGCCTGCAAGTGCACTTCCGGGATTCTAGCCCAAAGGGAGGACCTCAAACACAAGAAGGGGTTGGGACGGGCGGACACAGTTCTCTTTCCTACCGTGCTCATAGGGTGAAAAAGTCCCCGCATCTATGTTAATATAGGGGTCAATTTTGATGGCGGTAACCCGGAGCCCACATGATTTGAGGATGGTTCCAATGCTGCTGGCGATGATCCCTTTGCCAATGCCGGAGATGACCCCGCCAGTGACCAGGATGTACTTCATTGGCGCAGCCGTGGCCAGGGGGCAACCCCCAGAAGTAACCTGTGAGGCAGTGAAATTCAGGGTTAGGGAAGAGAAACATTTCCTCAAAAAGCACAGTGTTTCTAGGGGCTGGGGATTTAGCTCAGCGGCAAAAGCGCCTGCCTGGCAAGCGCAAGGTCGTGAGTTCGGTTCCCGGTACCGGAGAAAAACCAAAAAAAAAAAAAAAAAAAAACAACAAAAAGCACAGTGTTTCACTACTTGAACTAAATGCCTCAAATTTTTGAAACAAAATAGAATCTTGTAGGTTTTTTTCTTTTTGAGACAGGGTCTCACTATACAGTTCAGGCTGGCCTTGAACTCACTATGTATCCCAGGCTGGCCTCGAACTAGAGGTGATCCTCCTGCCTCAGCCTCCTGAGTACTGGGTTTACAGTAAAAGGCAAAAGATTTGTACGATCTGAAGAGAAACCAAAGTATAGTTCTGGGTTTATAGGCGTTCGGTACTGCGGATGCTGAGATTTCATTATCTCATCTACAGAAAGTGTTCTCTGATTCCCAGGGTAACAGAAGCACAGAGTGAAAATTTAAAAGCTGGCTATGGTACCCAGCATGGTGGTGCACACCAGTAATCCTAGCACCAAGGGAGGCTGAGGCAGGACCACACCTGGCACCTGTTTATCTGTAAAACAAACTCTCTTAACTTCAAGAGTCAGCTCACTTAAGGGTTACTGTATGTTACTTCAGAACTGCGGATGTCATTTGAACAAACTGACCACAATCAGGGATAGTAAACTGCAGCTACCCTCACCCCAACGGCTCTGCTAAGGCCTACCTTTCTCTGCACATTATATTTAATTAACCACAACCCAAGCCACTGCAGTTCTCCACAAGCCAACTGCACACCCACTTACCTGAGCTATATTTTTTCCCCTCTTCTAGGTATTGAAACCAGAGTGACCATACTCCCAGCCCTATTTTATTTTTTATTTTGAGATAGGATCTTGCTAATTTGCTGAGTTGAACTTGCAGTCTTCCTGCCTCAACCTTCCAGAGTGCTGGGATTACAGGTGTGCGCCCAGCTTCTGAGCTATATTTATAGCCTACAGTATTCTCAGTCCAAAGGTAGAACCTGCTCCAGTAGGTCGCAAATGCACGTGAATACTCATCTCTCCCTACTCCCCTGTCTGTGAGAGTCATTCATGAAGACCGTGTCTCTGCAGCTCTCCCTACTCAGGCCCCTGGGGACCTACTGACAGGCCTGGAGGAAGACAAGCTGGATGCACTTATATCTATGACCCTAGACAAGCTCTTCAGCTTTTTGAGACCTCAATTTCCTCAATCCATGCCCTATATAGGGAACACCTGTGCAGGGGTTTACAAAGATGATGTCTAATGCCAGGTGTGGTGCCACAGACCTGTGATCCCAGCACTTGGGAGGCTGAGGCAGGAAAATTGTTGTGAGTTCCAGGTGAGCCTGGGCTGCACAGTGAGTTCAAACCAGCCTGAACTACATGGTGAGACGGTGTGTCAAAAAACCCAATAAGCCAGGCATGGTGGCGCATGCCTGTAATCCCAGCACTCAGGAGGCTGAGGCAGGAGGATCGTTTCAAGTTCAAGACCAGCCTAGGGTACAAAGTGAGTTCAAGGTCAGCCTGAAGTGCATAGCGAGACCCTGTCTCTAAAAGACAAAAATAAATTAATTAATTAATTCAATAAAATTAAAATCACAGCCAGACGTGGTGGAACATGCCTGCAATCCCAGCACGTGGGAGGCTGAGGCAGGAGGATTGCTGCAAGTTCAAGGCCTGCCTTGGCTACAAAGTGAATTCCAGGCCAGCCTGAACTGCATAGTGAAGCCCTGTCTGAAAAAGACAAAAAAAAATTAAGATCACAATCTTAACCGTCAAGATCTTAATTTGATCAAAAATATATCATGTTAAATTTTTTTATAGATACAGGTGATGAGGTTGTAGGCAAATTATTAGTTTTCTCTATTTTCAAAAACAGAAGCTGGGCATGATGGCACATGCCTGTAATTCCAGCACTTTCGGAGATTGAGGCAGGAGGATCACTATGAGTTTGAAGCAAGCCTGGGCTACAAAGTGAGCTCAAGACCAGCCTGAACTGCATAATGAGACCCTGTCTCAAAAGACAAACGAAGGAAGGAAGGAAGGAGGGAAGGAAGGAGAAAGAAGGAAGGGCTGGGGATTTAGCTCAGCGGCACAGGGCCTGCCTGGCAAGCACAAGGTCATGAGTTCGATTCCTGGTACCGGAAAAAAAACAAACAAAAAAAAAAAAGAAAGAAAGAGGGAGGGAGGGAGGGAGGGAGGGAGGAAAGACTGCAAGGAAAGGCCAGCTGGACCCCACATCACTTCTCAGGTCGGGAACGCTGAACTTTGCTGTTCAGTCATTTGCAGCGGTGGAACCTAGTGTTTATAAAATGAGGAGGGACCGGGCTGGGGATTTAGTTCAGGGCACAGTGCCTGCTTGGCCAGCCTGAGGTCCTGAGTTTGATTCTGGGTAGCCCAAAAATTTAACAACAACAACAAAAAATCGTGACTGTGTAGGCAGTGATGCCTAATAAAAACAGTACACAAGCCGGGACATCATTTCAATTTTTCTAGTAGCCACATTTGAAAAGCTAAAAGGAAGGGGTGGGGCTGATGTTTACCCTCCATCTCGTGTAACTCAGTGTTGGTCCGGTTCCCGAGGCGGTCACCCAGGGAATTCCTCCTGAGATCTACCACCACCGCCGCGCCAAGCCTCGGGAATCAGAGGCCTGTGGTGTGATCCGGACACCACCTTCCCGGGGCTCAGTCGCCACGTGTGGCAGCCAGTGGCTCCCACATGGGACCCGCCTGCAGGCCTAGGGCAAGTCAGAGCAGAGACCCCAAGGGACACCTTCTCCGTGCGTGCGTCCATTGAAGGAGTAACACCAAGCCGGACGCCACAGAGGACTTAGTGAATGAGTCCCTTTCACGAAGTTAGAGAACAAAACTAGGGGGCTGGGGATTTAGCTCAGCGGCAAAGCGCCTGCCTGGCAAGCGCAAGGTCGTGAGTTCGGTTCCCGGTACCGGAGAAAAACCACAAAAAAAAAAAAAAAAAAAAAAAAAAAAAGAACAAAACTAGGAGCAAACTAGGAACAAACTAAGCTAGGAAGCAATCGGGAAGCTGCCCGAGTGTTAGGGAAGGGGCCTGAGGGGACTTTTCGGGTGACAGGACGGCAGTCATAGGAGCGCACCAACCGCCACAGCCCACTGGTGCGCCCTTAAAATGGGGCGTGTTCCTGTGGGCAGAGTCCCTGTCCCCTCATTTCTCACTGCGGCGGGCCTTTGGGGGCAGCTCACCGACGCGGGACGCCCGGGGCATTGTTTAACGTGGCGCTGGCCGGGTCGGGAAGGGAACGGAAAGACTCTGTCACCCTCGCCCTCCTTGACGCCCGCGCCGGACTGCACTTCCGCCAACGCCATGTCGGGGCTCCCGCGGCCCGGAGAAGTGCCGCTGGGAACACGCACCCGGGTGGGGAACGCGTCTGGGGACGCCGGGCCACCAGCCTCCACCGGACGGGCTCCGCCCGCACGGGGCACGACTGAGTGTCCCCAGGCGCCCGCCCTCCCGCGCAGATCTGCGAGCGCAAGAGGCCGGACGCGCCGGGCCACTGGGCTGACTCGGACTGCGAGCCAGAGAGCGCGCGGCGCCATCCGGGAGGGGACAAAGGCGCGCGGCCCCACGTGCGGAGGGACAGGGGGCGCGGGGCGGAGGCGCGGGGTGGCACGGCGCGGAGGCCCGGGCCGGGAGTTACCTGCGCAGCGGCGGTGGCGCCCTGGAGGGTGGCTCTGCCGGGCTCCGCCCCGCCGCCAGCCTGGCGATCACCTGTCCCACCCGGGAGGGGGCCATCGCCTTGGTCGCCCGGACTCGCTGCCCGGTCCTTGCTGCTGCCCGCAGGGGGGCAGCGAGCGCGCCGAGCCTCCTCGCCCAGCTTCCCTGTCCGCGTCGCCGCTGTCCCGCTGACTCACGCCGGGAACTCGGGGTTTGGCGAGGTGGCCCGGAGCCCGCGCCTCCAAAATGATCCGGGCGGTCCACGTCCCCAGACAGCGCTCAGTCCGGGCCCTGCGCCTCCCTCGCTCCTCCCTGTCGCCCGGGGTTCACAGTACAAAGGCTCACGGGGCGCGCTGCGACCGTCACCACGGTCCTTAGAAACGCCACGGTCCTTAGAAACGCCACTCCTCACAAACGTTGTACCTTCTCTAGAACGCGGCGGGAACCGCTGCAGCGCTCCGGGGAGAGGAAAGCAAGACACGATCGCTCCCTCGGGCGCTCACCGTCCGGTGGAGAGGCCACGCTTGCACCGCGCGGGAGTTCCCGGGAACAAAGCTAGGTGGCCATGACAGGGGCGGGGGGCACTCAGCGAGTGACTTTGTAGAATGTTTGCAGGAGGGGTGGTGCTAGGAAGTTGTTCCGGAAACTATGCAGTTCAGGCTGCCCTTGAACTCACTATGGAGCCCAAGCTGGCCTCCAACTCACGGTGATCCTAGGCCTCAGCCTCCGGAGCGCTGGGATTACAGGCATTCCCCACCACCACCACCCTACCCCGCGCAGTGCACGGAAATTTCCTGATTGGTTCAAGTGATTCCCAAATTGAACTCTCAAATCTGAGTCTGTATTTTTTTTTTTTTTCTTTTTTTCAGTAAGGGGGATTGATTCCCAGGCCTTTGCACTGAATTCCATTTCCAGTCCTTTTTATTTTTTATTTTGAGATAGGGTCTCACCAAGTTGACCAGGCTGAGCTCTACTTTGTCATCTTCTTGCCTCAGCCTCCCAGAGTGGTGCAATTACAAGCCTGGGCTACCACACCACAACTCAGAATAGGGTTTCTTCAGACTTTTTTTCATTTTTCTTCTTTCTTTCTTTCTTTTTTTTTTTTTTTTGAGACAGGGTCTCATTATGTAGCCCAGGCTGACCTCAAACTAACAGTGACCCTCCTGCCTCAGCCTCTAGAGTGCTGGGATGACAGGAGTGCATCGTCTCCTGGCCCTTCTTTCTTTTTGAACTTTGAAAGTGTTATACGCAGCTGAGTCAGACAGAAACATTATAGGCAGTCAGACAGGGCCAGGCCCTCTAAAGAGCCAATATGGAAGACAAGATACCTTGTGACCACAAGACAAAAGATATAACAAATGCACCCACATACCTCCCTAGGGATGGACATCAGGGATTGATATTCTAAATAAGTAGGGATAGTCACTGACCCAATCCCCTACAGGAAAAGCCCCTGTTCTGCACTCTTGCCCGCTTGCTGTGGGACTCCCTTCCCTACTGAATCCTCATACAATCAATGGGAAGCGAGCAATTAGGCTTGGAATCATGTGGCTTCACCGTACTTTGGTCCCACCTCATGCCCACCTTGTGATTTCCCATTTTCCCCCTACCTTGGACCCTCCTCAACTCATGGTTTTGCTCTATAAAAATCCCTGGAAAAGACAGGTTCCTGGGCAACCCACTCAGGCCCCCTTCTGTCCCTCTGTCAGATAGAAGCTTTCCTTCCCTCAATAAATACATTCTAGGGGCTGGGGGTTTAGCTCAGTGGCACAGTGCCTTCCTGGCTAGCATGAGGTCATGAGTTCGATTCCCGGTACCGGAAAAAAAATATATATATATAGATAGATAGATATAGATATATCTATATAGATATATAGATATATATGTATTCTGCTCCGTTGTTCCTAAAATTCTTTTGTCAATTTTACAGAACACGAACTTATCCCAGATATCATTCAGGTTGGGAGTTTCTTTCCCCTATATCATTAGCACTGTACTTAGGACAAAGTTAAGAAATATAGAAGGCAGACATGGTGGCGCATACCTGTAATCCCAGCACTAGGGAGGCTGAGGCAGGAGGATCCTTGCGAGTTCAAGGCCAGACTGGGCTACAAAGTGAGCTCAAGGCCAGCCTTGAACTGCATAGTGAGACTCAGTTTCAAAGACAAAAAAGAAAAAAAGTTATATATGGCAAACACGTAGCAATAAAAATTAAACTAGGTGTGATGGCGCACACCCGTGATCCCAGTGTTACAGACTGCTGAATTAGGTAGAAATAATATAGGGAGTCCGACAGGGCTAAGCCCTCGGGAGAGTCAGTACAAAAAACAGAAACATTACAACTGTGGCCAGGGGCTGGGGATTTAGCTCAGCGGCACAGCGCCTGCCTGGCAAGCACAAGGTCGTGAGTTCACTTCCCGGTACCAGAAAAAAACCAGAAAGAAATGTATACAACTGTGGCTGGAAACGCACCCATTGAAGGCTCGGCCTACTGCATACTTCCCCAAGGGATAAGCAATATACTATAATTGGTATCACTTGTCCAATAAAGTCTGGATGGACATCAGTCACCAATGTGGGTGACTAGGACCTCTAAATAAGGTCCCTATTCTTTCCATGTAGCCTTGCTACGTGACCTGCTCCCCTATTGGATCAATATTACCTAAGCAGCTATTATTTTGTTTTTTGTTTTTTTTTTTTTTTTTTTTTTTTTTTTAAGGAAAATTAGTTATTCAGATGGCAGGGTTC